GAAAATAGTCTCTAACAAAGTGGTGAAAGCTCTAAATTAGTTTATACTGTACCGTTACAAATTTAGGGGCAGAATTAGAGTAATTTTTACTTATTTGTGAAAGATTTTATTCAGCAAGGACACATTTAAAGGAGTTTTAAAAAAAAACTTTTGCTGATAATTTACTCACCCCCATGTCATCCAAGATGTCCATGTCTTTCTTTCTTCAGTCGAAAAGAAATTAAGGTTTTTAATGTAAACATTCCAGGATTTTTCTCCATATAATGGACTTCAATGGGGTCCAAACGGTTCAAGGTCCAAAAGACAGTTTCAGTGCAAACTGTTCAAAGGGCTTTAAACGATTCCAGATGATTAATAAGGGTCTTATCAAGCGAAACGATCGCTAATTTAATAAATAAATAACAAAGTTTACGTTTTATAAGCACAAATGCTCACCTTTCTCTGTTCTGTGATGACCTGTTTGAACTCGTTCAAAATGAACAAATCTTTTTTCGGACCTTGGACCGTTTGGTTCCCATTGAAGTCCATTAAATGGAGAAAAATCCCGTAATGTTTTCATCAAAAACCTTAATTTCTTTTCAATTGAAGAAAGAAAGACATGGACATCTTGGATGACATGGGGGTGAGTAAATTATCAGCAAAAGTTGTTCAAATAAATGCTGTTCTTTTGAACTTTTTATTCATTATAGAATCCAAGAAGAACATGCATCACAGTTTCTACAAAAATATAAAGCAGCACAACTGTACAATATTGAGAATAATAATAGAAATTCTTAGCATCAAATCCTCATATTAGAGTGATTTCTGAAGGATCATGTGAATCTGAAGACTGCTGAATAAATTACATTTTAAAATGTTAAAATAGAAACTCTTATTTTAAAATGTACTAGTATTTAACAATATTGCAGTTTTTATCTTTAATAACAAATGTAGCCTTGGTGAACATAAGAGACTTCTTTCAAAAACATGAATGTTTTTATCTACCGTTATGGCTTCATGTTTCATGATAAAAAAATGCTGGATGGAAACACCAAGATGCAAATAAATTGCTCAATTGAGGCGGATACATTTTGTTATCTAGAAAACATACATAATCTACGATGGAAACACATCTAGGCCTACCAAATAAATTCCTTCCTTTCCTTTATTCCTTTGCGTGGTGGGACGGCATAACTGGACTAACCAGCGTGTGCTGTTTTGGTCATTTTAAAACGCCTGAGCAAAGTCTGTCATATAATTACGATTGGATATAGGATTCGGTGTAATTCCCTCCCAGAACTGTCTTACACGACTGCATTCCCACACCGCAGCATCCGCCTCCGAAAGCAAGATAACACCAACACGTTTATTGCGTTTCGTCTACATGCTCTGAGGCGCAAGTCATGGACTGCCCTGGCGTCAGTGCAGCAATGCAGTCGACAAATCCATTTCATTTCCAGTGAAATATTTTTACATGCGCTCTGGAGATATTATCATATGCTTCCGTGTGTGTGTGTGTGTGTGTGTGTGTGTGTGTCAGACTTTGATCAGTAAAGTTCCTGGTGACTTGGAGGCAGATGAAACAGTTTTCCAAATTAGAGCACCCACTCATTCTCTCACTCTTTCTTCTTCTCCTCTGTATTTTATCCAGCCACACATACAGTAACTCTAGGCTTCACTCATACACTGCAGACGTTTGTCGTTAATTGCCAAATCACATGTTTACGTGGGTTTTTTTAGTCCACCATTTTTCATACTCTTCTCTTCTTCGCTGTGCTTCTGTCTCTTCAGTTTCACTGCTAAACCATGATTGCAGATATACACTCTCAATCAGGTTATAGTATTTATGGTAACACTTTAGAATACGGTTCCTTCGTTAATGAATAACTACACAAGAACTAATGAGTAGCACAATATTTACAATCTAGTAACTATTATTAACTAACAAGAAATTCTGATTAACGAACTAGTAAGTAATAGCGCACAGACGAAAGTGGTAGTTCACTATTAACTGATCAATAACTACTATTTTTTTTAATACTTCCCAGAGAACTACTGAAAAAGTTTATTAACAATCTAGTAACTACTATTAACTAAAAGAAACCCTTATTAACGAATAGCTCACAGATGAAAGTGTTACTAGATACTTCTGTGGGAATTACTAATTATTTGGATTCGTATTATAAAGTGAAGATCATTGGAACTAACTAGTAATTACTCAAGTGTTACTAAAGACATTTTCTAAAAGTAAGTTCACCAAAAATCTCAAACGTTTGCACAAATCATGACTAGATCATGTAGTAACACTTGAGTAATTACTAGTTAGTTCCAATGATCTTCACTTTATAATACGAATCCAAATAATTAGTAATTCCCACAGAAGTATCTAGTAACACTTTCATCTGTGAGATATTCGTTAATAAGGGTTTCTTTTAGTTAATAGTAGTTACTAGATTGTTAATAAACTTTTTCAGTAGTTCTCTGGGAAGTATTAAAAAAATAGTAGTTATTGATCAGTTAATAGTGAACTACCACTTTCGTCTGTGCGCTATTACTTACTAGTTCGTTAATCAGAATTTCTTGTTGGTTAATAATAGTTACTAGATTGTAAATATTGTGCTACTCATTAGTTCTTGTGTAGTTATTCATTAACGAAGGAACCGTATTCTAAAGTGTTACCGTATTTACATTATATATTTATTTTGATTTAAGTTTTAGTCATTTCACTGTTGTATTATTTTTTGAGATCTGCAAAGTTTTAAAGATCAAAGTGTACGACAAATAAAGTTATTGTCTTAAAAGAAAGAATCGATTATGAACTGCAGAAACAAGTCGTCCGCCATAGAGGGCCGAAGTGATGACATCACTTTGTAGGACGACTCGGAAGCTAGCGGCGCATGGGTTCACTCGATCGAAAAGCAATGTGTTTTCCCCATAGACTTTTGGAAAATCGCAAAAAAAAAAAGATCTGTGTTTAACAACGAGTTGTGACCCTTACACGTTTTGTCTATCAAGATAATCTTTACGAGTTAATCCAAAATTTATACATTTTGAAGACTATATAGATTTTTTAAAAACCCAAACAGACACAATAAAGTAAAAAAAAAACACAAGCAGGTTATAACTGTGTTTTATGTCATAGATCAAAACGTGAAAATATTTAGAGGCTTTGATCACCACAGACCTTATTTCAGGCGATTTAGCAAAAACCCATTCAAAAATCCCATAGACTTTAGAGCGAGGGAGCCGGGAGTGCTAAAATGCTAACTCACTTCTGCGTTTTGGCCTACAGAGTGATGTGATAACTTCGGCACTCTATTCCTGAACCAATTTGCATAAAGCCAGTCTATGGTGTTCATTCGCTGCCCGTGAACGTCTACATGCCCTCAAACACTGCAGTTGTAGCTGAGACTGGAAGAGTGTGGTTTGTGTTGTTCATGTCGAGACGACGCTGTTTTCAGCGCTGAGAATCCACTGTGATGCCCTTCAAAAGAAGGAGGACTCACGCGGGAATCGATACGGTAAAATCGACACTATTGTTGCTGTTCATATCACTGTTTATCAAGAGCTGAGGACGGAAGAGACTGAATCTTTGAGAAATGAGGTGAAGTACAATGTCTATTATGTGTATATTGAGTGTGTTTTGACCTTGGATGCATGTACACCTGAGACCCCAAAACAAAATGAGGAATCTTTAAAATAGCGTAACAGGGGCGCTTTAAATTTCTCATCTAATGGACTGTTTTCAGACTGATGATGTGTTCCCACAGGTATCAACATCGCGAATCTAGTGAAGTTTTTCAAATTATATTTATGACGGTATACTTTGTGTTACATTACCGTGGCAGTAAATCAAAAAGAAAAAAGAAAGAACGCTGTTGTGAGGGTGTGTCCAATACAACGGCTGAGGGAGCGACGGCAATCTTGACATCGTGAAAACGCTATCATGTATTTGCTATTGGAGCAAATGGGAATACACAAATGATATTAGCCGTCACCTCCTGTTCACCACTATAGGAGTTTAAACATCTATGGCACATCTAAGAACCCTGGAAATGTGAAACGGGTCCATATTTATATTTTCTGTTATATCAGCTGTATTGATAACTGAAAACAATTTGAGGGTAATAGTTTTAGTTTAAAGGATTAGTTCAATTTAAAAAAAACTTTTGCTGATAATTTACTCACCCCCATGTCATCCAAGATGTCCATGTCTTTCTTTCCTCAGTCGAAAAGAAATTAAGGGTTTTGATGAAAACATTCCAGGATTTTTCTCCATATAATGGACTTCAATGGGAACCAAATGGTCCAAGGTCCAAAAGACAGTTTCAGATGCAGCTTCAAATGTCTTTAAACGACACCAGACGATGAATAAGGGTCTTATCATGCGAAACGATCGGTTATTTCAAAGCTTATTCCAAAAATGTAACTTTTCTAAAACACAAATGCTAGCCGTAATACGTAATTACGTTCAAAAGGTCACGGGCGACGTAGCCGGAAGTACAGAATCAAAATCGTCCGACATCGTTGTTTTACCTTTTAATTCCTTTTTTTGTAAAAGGCGTTTGAGCTAGTTTGCACGTTCAACCTATGCGTTCAACTTGTAAACACTGACTCTGTACTTCCGGCTACGTCGCCCGTGACCTTTTGAACGTAATTACGTATTACGTGACGTTACAAACGCGCCTCACAGAATAGAGCAAGGCTAGCATTTGTGTTTTAACATAACCGATCGTTTCGCATGATAAGACCCTTATTCATCGTCTGGTGTCGTTTAAAGACATTTGAAGCTGCATCTGAAACTGTTATTTTGGACCTCGGACCGTCTGGTCCCCATTGAAGTCCATTATATGGAGAAAAACCCTGGAATGTTTTCATCAAAAACCTTAATTTCTTTTCGACTGAGGAAAGAAAGACATGGACATCTTGGATGACATGGGGGTGAGTAAATTATCAGCAAAAGTTTTTTCAAAAGTGAACTACTCCTTTAACACTGATCTGTGTTTTCCTCTTCTCTGCAGGTTTTCTGAGCACAGGAGATCAGTCTGCCAAAGGGAACTACGGTCTTCTGGATCAGATCCAGGCGCTGCGTTGGCTGAACGAGAACATCGGACACTTCGGCGGCGACCCCGAACGCATCACTATCTTCGGCTCTGGGGCCGGAGCGTCATGTGTGAACCTTCTCATCCTGTCCCACCACTCCGAGGGTACGGGGAGATGAGTGTGTGTGTGTGTGTGTACATGCCTGTCAATGTTTTAACAGACTAATACTGTGTGTGTGTGTGTGTGTGTGTGTGTGTGTGTGTGTGTGTGTGTGTGTGTGTTACCTCACAAAATGTCTCACCACCCTGTCCAACTCTGTTCTTTGCAATGCTCGTCAAAAAAAGCCCACCTTCACCCGCACCATCTTCATCCTCATCACTGTCATCCTCACCTAACATCAGTCCTCCAGCCCTCATCTGTCACTCACACCAGGTAAGTCATGACAGTCGTTATCCCTGGAGAAAACACTCATGTCATCTTAAGCCAACAGAAACAGGGAAGAGATAAACAAATAAAGAAGAGCTTGTGTGGGTAAGTGTCAAGGTTCCCTTTAAGTTCAAAGAAAAGAAAGAAATGAACTCTTTTGAGCAGCCCTTAAGTTAATGTGTTAGTGTGCCTGTTTGACGGAGCCGTGTAAAGAGAAAAGCGCAGGCGTGTTAGCAGAGACAAAGCTACAGCTGCTCCGTATTGATTTCCCTGGGAAAGGTAACATGTTCTTCAATAATTAAAAAGACAGAAAGAGAGAAAGGAGGGCAGAACAAGGAGAAGAAGAGCCCTTCGGTGATATGTTTTTACTCTTCTCTTGAGAGAAAGAAACAGGCTTTGTTTGTTAAGTGTTTGTAAGAGAAAAGGCAACAAGAGAATAATAGATTTACTGTATTAATGCAAGATGGAATTTGCACAACGTTAGCTCAATAATCACAGGAAAAAGTCGTGTTTGTGCCAAACCAAATCTTCATATCCTTTTTTTTTCTTCTGTTTTTCCTTTGATGCAATTCCAGCTTACAATGTGCTGAGCGCTATTGGAATTGACATCAAAATAACTCCCATTAACAAGCTGGAGATAACCATACTACAGTACACCATCATATCACTGTTGACATGAAATACTCAAAGTAAAATTGACGTGTTTTTCAGTCTAACAAATTAACTCATTTTAAAACTAATTTAATGCTTTCTCGGCCATTCCCCGCAATCCATGTCATTACTGATATGTGGTAGAGGGCGCTATTGCGCATCTTCTTGATATATGACATTGGCATGTTTACATTACATGCATTTACTGTAAAGCTGCTTTGAAACGATACGTATTGTGAAAAGTGCTATACAAAATTGTATGTTTTGAATGTTCAAATATTCTGGCGGACAGGAAAGTTGTGTGAAAATGATTCAAAATACTGGTTATTTATTTATTTTGATGGCAGGGAAAGTGTTAAATCACACTTTGCTAATTGTAATTACTTGGCATCCCACTTTTATGACCATTTATTAATCGTGAGACCACTATGATTGAATATGATGAAAATTCACACACCGGAACCATCAGTGTCAGAAAAAAAAAAAGAGTTAATGGACATGCATCAACTATCCATAATGTGTATCCGGGTTGTCTTGTATGTAGTTAACAGCTTGATATGGCTCCTCGCACACAGGCCTGTTTCAGAGAGCCATTGCTCAGAGTGGTTCAGCGATCTCCAGCTGGTCCATCAGCTACCAGCCCCTGAAGTACACCAAGATCTTGGCCCGGAAAGTGGGATGCACATATGGGGAGACCGCAGACCTGGTGGACTGTCTCCGCAGGAAAAACTTCAGAGAGCTGGTGGACCAGGACATCCAGCCGGCCCGCTACCATATTGCGTTCGGACCCGTGATGGACGGAGACGTCGTGCCAGACGACCCCGAGATCCTGATGCAGCAGGTGATTATTATAAATTTTTTAAAAATGGGAATGATCAATTAAAGATACATGATGAAACATTTAAAGCTATTATAATCTACCATTTAAAAAATATTTTTCCATTCAGGAGACAGAAAAGTTCCTCTTAATTGAAGAGAGTGTGTTTATCATGTTTTATTTAAAGCTAGTGTTTTGCACATGTTTCTGTGATAGGAAGTTTAGCTTTGGTTAGGCCACAGACAAAATCATCCTGATATAATGGGTCTATTCAGTGTCCTCACTAATATAGTGAAACAATCTGAAGGTAAACTTCTTTCTCCACTAGGGGGAGTTCTTGAACTACGACCTTCTGATTGGTGTAAATCAAGGGGAGGGTCTGAAGTTTGTGGATGATGGAGGCACTGAGAGTGAAGAGGGGATCTCAGCTGCAGCCTTCGACTACACAATCTCCAACTTTGTGGATAACCTTTATGGATACCCTAAAGGTAGGCTCTTTTCTGGGGTAACAGAATATGAATTCATATTAAATTGTGAAAAAAAGAATTTCCCGATTAAAAACATGAAGTTAAAGCGTATAATGAGGGGCTATACTGAGTACAGCAATAAAATTGCCATTACTATTGTGCTATGCAAACTGCTTCCTCTTGATTTGGTGCTGTTGTCGACTTGGTCCACCAGAGGGCGATAAATGACAAGCAATGATATAATATTTCATGTGATATGTCAAATGGAAGATTTCATTCCTGGTATTTAATGTTCCTGGTATTAAATAACATGCCTTTATTAACATATTTTTTAGGTCCATTAGACAAACATATGCATACACGCATTAAAATTAATGCTCAGTCACTGAATCAATGTTTCCATATTTTCTACTTTATTCCTGTCTGCTCCCCTCCCCTTTCTTGTCTGCCTTTTCTTCACTGTAATTACTCCGTGTGTTTGTGTAGGTAAAGACATCCTGAGGGAGACTATTAAGTTCATGTACACAGATTGGGCGGACCGAGACAATGGGGAAATGCGGCGCAAGACTCTCCTGGCATTATTCACTGATCACCAGTGGGTGGCGCCAGCCATCGCTACCGCCAAACTCCACGCGGACTATCAGTCTCCCGTCTACTTCTACACGTTCTACCACCACTGCCAGACCGAGACCCGACCCGAGTGGGCAGACGCGGCTCACGGGGACGAGATACCGTATGTGTTCGGCGTACCCATGATCGGAGCAACTGACCTCTTTCCTTGCAACTTTTCCAAGAACGACGTCATGCTTAGCGCTGTGGTCATGACCTACTGGACCAACTTTGCCAAGACCGGGTGGGTTTTTTTCTAGTTTTAAAAATATCTATCTACCTATTAGGGTTGGGTATCGATTGGGTTTTATCCGATACCAGTACCTACTCTGTATTTTTTCCGGTTCCGGTGCCTAAACGGTTCTTGAAACGGTACTTAAGAAAACGAAACCACACACACTTTGTCATAAAAATAATACCCCTTTATTTACAGGGCCAAACTGGACACAATATTAACTTGCAATATAAATACAAGTAACATTATGGTAATAATAAATAAACCAATACAAAATAAAAGTTCATATTTACATAATATCAAATAAAACAATATTATATCAAACAATGTAATTATACTAGAGAGTAATAGAGATTACTACCAGCGTAATATAATATCGACATGGCTACAGGTTCTTTAAGTAGTCATGTAAGTTATCTTGTCATTTACTAGTTAAGCTTTTCGACAGTTTGAAATTTTTTTAAATTTGAGTAAACATTTGAAAGAGAACGTCTCTGTGTAACCCATGTTCTCTGAATAGGGAACAAGACGCTGCGTTCGCTGCCAAATACCTCGCGCTGCCGACAAGCTTCCTTTTTCGGCAGAGAATTCAGATGATGCGTGCGCTAATATAATATGACGACGTGAGCGTCAAGGCGGCGCGAATGGTGATTCTATATCCATAGACAATCGTTATTCTGACGCGTAATTTTACACGTGAAATGCAGCCAAACCTTGCAGTGTTTTGTCTTCGGCATCTTCATTAATCTCCTCGCTATCAGCAGACGTTCCGGGAGTCTCCCGCATATTGATAACGGCTCCCTGATGATCGCAAATAGTTAAAATCTCCCGGAATCTAGAGCGAGCGAGCAAGAGTGCGTGTGCGAACTATATAGTGCGCGCACGTCGGAAAGAGAGAGGGAGACATGCAGCAAGAGACTGCGTGTGTGCGTCTCATGCCACAGACTCAGGCATCGAAAAAAATCAGGCACCGAAATTTTCAGTCTTGAAATTTTCGGTCTGGTTACTACCGTTTACGTCAGAACCGGTTCCCCATAGGCACCTAGTTTCGGTACCCAACCCTACTACCTATCTATGTATCGCCCAGCCCTAAATCATCAAATTGCATTTATACATCCAGTTATAAAAATCACAATTTTGATAGTGTTTCGAGAATTCACAATTTGATTCTGAGTGTCTCACATCCTCGGTGTGGAATTCATTAAAACACCCATTTGACAAAAGATATCTGTCGTCTCTAGGGATCCCAACTTGCCTGTTCCTCAGGACACCAAGTTCATCCACACCAAGCCCAACCGCTTTGAGGAAGTGATCTGGACCAAGTTCAACTCTAAAGACAAGCAGTACCTCCACATTGGCCTGAAGCCTCGCATCCGGGACAACTACCGAGCAAATAAGGTCGCCTTCTGGCTGGAACTGGTTCCTCACCTCCACAACCTTCACGAGGAGGTCTTCAGCACCGCCACAACCCGACTCCCTCCGGGTACCGCCCGTACCCCACACTGGAAGGGTCCGGGACCCCGTACCACACGCCATCCCATCCCAACCTTCCCTTCAGAGCCGGACGCCGATAGTTCAGAGCCGCCTCGATTCCCTCCCTTCCCGAGCGACACCCGGGATTACTCGACGGAACTGAGCGTGACGGTCGCCGTCGGTGCGTCGCTCCTCTTCCTCAACATCCTGGCCTTCGCCGCGCTTTACTACAAGCGCGACAAACGGCACGAGATGCGACGGCACCGGTTGTCCCCGCAACGAGGCGTTCCCTCCAATGACTTGGCACACAGCCAGGAGGAAGAGATCATGTCCTTGCAAATGAAGCACTCGGAGCACGACTCCCACCACGACATGGAGCCACTGCGGCCGCATGATATTTTACGTCCCGCGTGCCCCCCCGACTACACGCTGGCGCTGAGGCGGGCGCCCGACGATGTCCCGCTCATGACCCCTAACACTATCACCATGATTCCTAGCACCATCACCGGCATGCAACCGCTCCATGCCTTCAACACCTTCCCCACGACCACCGGGCACAACAACACCTTACCCCACCCTCACTCCACCACACGTGTATAGTAGCGCCACCGAACGAGAGGACTAGCTCTCATACGTATCCAGTTTTCTCTCTCTGTCCACCTTTTCAAGCTCCTGAACTTCAGATGCTCTCGGTTACGCTGCCAAGAACAGCGACAGCCAATCCCGTTGGGGTGTTGTGCGTATAGACACAATCAACGGTTTGGCAGAAGTTGTACACACTAGAGGGGCTCTGTCATAGACTCTACGGCGAGCAACAGATTCGGCCGGCACTGACAAGCCATCGGCCTCGTCCTCGATTCAACTTGCTGTTTGTTTTTCCACAACGTCCTTAAAAAGGAGGAGCGTCGACGATTGACTGAGCTGATCTGATGTCATGAAGGGAAATGATGACTCGTATCCCCACTAAATTGGCAGAGTGCAGATTTCATCCATCCCTTTCTTTTTACCATCCTTCTTTGTTATTCCATTTCCAGCGAAACGCTCTGTCCGAATGTGATCTGTGTCCTCGGATCATGTTTCACATGAATCGTAGGGGCATTCGATAAGACAGAAGCTGGATACGTTGTGTTTACCTGCAGTCTTGTGTCAAGTGTTAAATCATACCTTGTAACAAGAGACACGGGGAAAGAGAGAGAATAACAGCGCCTGACAGACGGCAAAAACAAAAGTGCCAACCTCCTCTCTTTTTCTCTCGCTCTCCCGTCATTTCGTCACGCATATTCGATTTGGCCACGTGTTGTTTCTTAGGAAGATTTTTTTGTATGTATAAATATAAAGACAAATATATAGAAGAATGATATAAATATATATTTACATGGATTGCTCTGGGGGATCTATGCATGAAATATTTTAAAGCACCAAGAAGGACACTGAGCTGTAAACTCCCACAGCATTTTACGTATTTGCATTTTTTTAACTTGCTTGCTTAAAATGGTTGCAGAAACTTCTCCCCAGTGGTGTTTTCATCAGCATTACTCAAACTGTAACGGTCTGGCCACTCTATATAGGACACATCCAGAAAGAGATCTATTGGCAATATTCTTTCAAACGGTTTATAGTTGTTGGTGCTATTATTTGACCATCAACCATGTCGTGCCCTACCAGAGCCATCTGTGATGCTCCGGACTCTTGCATAAATACTGCAAATGTAGCTTTGCAACTCTTTCATGGGCCTGTGACCAATATTCAGCTTTTATTAATCTAATTTTTCACAGAGACAAATCTCTCTCTCTGTCTCGGCCTCATCTCTGTCCTTGCTCTTTTGGTTCGACGTCATTTGGTATTTGACAACCCGGTTTAATCAGCTTCTTTTTTGTGTATTGGTGCGTGTACACACATGAAGAGTGTTTTCTTGCCAATATGTCTCTTGCCAAGTGCCCTCTACATTTGTGTTAATGTAAATGTGTGAGATCAAGAGTATATGTGACAGAGGCCCAGTTTACACTTGGTTATAAGATTGATCGGATCACAAGTAGACGAGAGTGACACCGTTCCGTTTACACCTGGTGTTTTAATCTGTCTCTTTTGTCCACATTCAACCACTTTGGTTCCTGATTTCTTCGAGGGAAGGTTTTTTTTTTAGATCTTTCAATCTTGTGGACAAAATAAGCTTTAAATTTGGGGATGGAGAAAGAACACGTTTTTCATCTCCAAACCAAACTTGGGTCTTCAGCTGACAATGTGTAAATCCGTCGGTCTAGCTGCATCCAATAATGTTACGCATGAGGTCAGGAGACGGAGAGAAGACGGTCTTTTTTGGCAGTTTGAACACATTCGATCACATGAGCGTTTACACTACGAAAGCAATCCGGTCGAATGTGTTTTTAAGTGGTGGAAAGTGGACAATCTGAAAACGTTTTCGACCAGTTTACACCTGTATTTAGCGTCGTCCAATTGTGATCCGATCGGCCAAAACCCATCAGGTGTAAACGGTCAGAGAGGCACAAAGAAAGAGAAGGCTTCAATCTTCATAACACTCCTTCATGAAAACCAACCTGGCTTTAGGCCGTTTTACATGCAAAGCAGGTGTATGTTGTGCGATAGGAAGAGGCTGGAAGCACCTCATAATATCAGTTTGGTGTTCACCCACTTCTCGACATATCACACATCTGTCTGCACTGCAGTGCACACTTGACCTTTCCGGTTATGACAAGCACAGCAAATGGAGGTTGTGGCGAACCAGATCTATATAAACAAATTTTACACGATTGTTTCGTGTTGAGGTTAAAGAACGAATGGCTCCGAATCACTGCGGGATTAACACGATCACTTCTCTTCTGTTCATGCCTTGTTAGACTTTGCCACTGCTGTCTGCGTCACGGGAGGATGACGGTTTGTGTGTGTCTCACTGTTGGCTGTGACGCCTACAATATTTCTCTCAGACAAACACAGGACCCTCATCAGGGAGCAAGAACTAACGCCACTAAAACACGAACAGACTCGAAACTGGAGGATTAGTGTGTCATTCAATTCTGTGTTGTGGACTAACAGCCCAATGGACGGGAGACTGTAACGAGTTTGGGTTACTGAGAGTCTAGACTGGACCTGTGGATATGTACCATCTGTGGACTTTAGTGTGGTTGTAGGTATATCTAAACTCCATTTTAAACACACTATGAGGAGTTGACTAGAGCTGCGTACAAAACAACCTCAATTCTAATAATCAATACTGTTTTAAGAGACGAGTCGAGACTCTTTTGTTATTTTTCTTGTTTGGTTTTGTACGCTCAACCGCTAGAGTGTGATGTTGTGGTACATCCAGAATAAAGACTCTACATCCGTTACGAGCCATTCGTTGGGTCTTCAGTAGGCGTACAGTGAGGAGGATCATAGAATTTAACTGTACATTTTTAAGTGTGAGAACAAATCAACTGAAAATATTTGTAAATATTCAGTTACTTGTTTGTTTAATGTTTTTTTCTCCCCCTTTTTTTTTTGCTTTTTTTTTCTGGTCAAATGAAATATAAGATACTCTGTGACCAGGACAACAGGTGCAAGTTGTAATTCAGCCACCAGCAAAATTGATGAATCCCATTCGTTGGAGATTAAATTCACTTTCTGCTGCTTCATTTCGTTTTGGGAGAGGTGATTTATTGCTCTTGTATTTGAGCACAGAGATGGTGTATCATGTAGCATTTCAAAGTCGCTCATATTTCTGCACAATATGATCATTTCAGATACAAATCTTCAATATGGAGATATGGACTGGAAGCACTGGAAACAATGGTGGATATGAGAACGAAGTATTTCATCTGCCATGAAATTGTTGTAGCATTAAACCAAAATGCAACCAGAAAAAGAAAAGTATTATTTTGTGATCACATTTTTACTACACTTAGCCTAAGTATAGAGTATTGTTAATGAATTTAGCATCTAGAGGAATAATGCCAGAATAAAGACGACATAAAGAGCGCAAGAGGCTCTCGTTATGTCAAGCCTGGTGTTTTAAAGATTACTTTATAAATGAAGCACATGTTATTTCTAACAAGATAAATATTTTATTGGGTCCTAAAGCAAATTTACACCTGTTGCCCTGTTTTACTCTATGTTCAGAATCAGAACGCCACACGTGATGAAGAATAAACATGTTCATAATGGATTTTAAAAAAAGAAAAGGTAAAATTATATAAATAAGGTGATGATATTTCTCTTTATTTAGAAGTTATTACACACTGTATGCTGTGACTCTGATCTGGGGAACATTAAAGAAATTCATAGCCAGACATCAGACTCTGTTTCCTTTTAATCAAATTACAAATCATCTCAATGACTCATTTAATTGGAAATAGTGAATTAATTAACTGCATTATATGGCTGTACCTGAAATGTAATTTCCAACAGCAACCTCTATAAGGAGATCAACACGTTCAGCTATTCGCTCCCCATGATTCGTTTGTGTCACAAGTGCAAATGAGAATCGTTGATGGACAAACATATACAACTCAAACTTAATCTTACTAATCAAACTACTTAAACTACTTAGAATAGTTTGATTAAGTCGTTTGATAGTTTATTTATTGTTAATTGAGAAGCATGTATTACATGTGATTATAGATGCGCAGAATTCTAGACATTCTGAGTAAAAACTTTTATTTCGGTGATTTAAAAAAAAACTTAAAGCGGTGGTTGATTATGATTTCACTTTTCTAACTTTAGTTAGCCTGTAATGTTGTTGTTTGAGCATTAACAACATCTGCAAAGTTACAATGCTCAAAGTTCAAAGCAAAGGGAGATATTTGCTATTAAAGAAATATTTTTTTTAAGGACTACAACAAACGGCTGGTAGGGACTACACGAGCTTCCTCCCGGGCTAGTGACATTCATAGATTTATAGATTATCCTGACAGAATATACTAATTGAAGATAATTTTGCCCTTCATGATAATTGTGAGGGGGTGATTTTTGTTTAACTCATCTGTTTAAATTATATTAGGCCTTAAAGTTCTGCATAATTAAGGGCATGGCCACTGTGTGATAGTAGTGATTGTCAATCTAGAAAAGACTTGAATGGAATTTTAGCGGCTGTCATCTGTATACGAAATATGCTAAGAAAAATGTTTCTATTTTTTAGTACATCATTGTCATGAACTAATCAGTTGAGTCAAATATTCAACTACCCATTATTAAACCGCCTCATTCTGAATAAATTAACCGTTTGAACGAATCGTTTAAATCATGGGTCACCAAACTAAGGCCCGCGGGCCGAATCAGGCCCGCCACACCCCTTTGACTGGCCCCCCAACCCCTCTGCCCCCCACTACTTGAACCGGCAATCCCCAAAAGTCGTCATGGCCTATTTTTTTAAATTGCTTTTTGGAAAATAATAACATGTCTGCATTTGGTATTTTGTTGTTTATTGAGCATGCTCACCTGGATAGGCATAAGAGCTGACTAGTTCTATTACTCATGTTGTTGTTATAATTTAAATGTTTATTTATTTATTTTATAGGCCTATTTATTTGACCTTTATTAAGTGCTGTACACAATTATTATAAATAGTAACAGGCCTACCTATAATTTATAATTTTTCATTCATCTTTACCAGTGCCACTCACCTCAACTAGGCAGATGTTTCTTACCTTGACAGGTTTGATGTTATTTGTATTCGAAAATAAATAAATGGAAAATCTGTGGTATTTCAAATTAAAACAAAGTGTGAAGACTCGATTACTACTTTTGCAAACAACTATTAATGATAAACAAATATGGCTGTGCCAGGCTAGTAATCTCTACTATGAGGCCTGCTGGTGGTCAGTTTGGTCTTGGTCACACAATTCTATTTTATATAGCCCCGGCCCCCCATCACAGTCAGGAACGATAATGTGGCCCCCAGAGAAAAAAGTTTGGTGACCCCTGGTTTAAATGAATGACTCAATGACGGCCGTTAAATACAGGTGCCGCCTCCTACTGGCGGTAGTTTCAAAGTATTTTTTTTTCAAAATTCCTTATTTGTATACAAAAAAAATATTTAAAACAATCTCACAATCTCATTTAATACAGATTTTCCAATGTAAATTATTCATTTGAATGGTAGAAGCCACTAGGCTAGGCTTTCTTATTATTTTAATTGTTGTAATTGTTTTATACGGAATTTGAAATGAATTCACTGGAAATAACTCCAGAAAAGGACTTATCTATACTTCGACATTTTTAACAATAAAATGTATCCATCTTCACAAACGTTTTCCTTACCCTAAACAGTTACGTGCATCACAAATTAACAAATTATTATTAGCCTAAAACCCAAAATCCATAATTGTGCAGTTCACGTGACCATGAAAGCGCGCGAGAATCACGCTATTTTAAAACCGGAAATGTTTCGCTTCGCCTCGTGTGACGGTCTGCCAAAGTGGATGGCAAGAGCAAACCTGCGATGCATCTCGACATATAGTAAGTGTTTATGATGTTCGTTTAAATGTATATTTAAAGAAGAGTAGAACTATCAAGCATCCTTGATCGCGTTACTTAACAGTCGGAGAAAAGTGCATATAATCACAAAGTTTATGAGACTGCAAGGGAGGGGGTAAGTGTTGTGTGGTGGCCCGCACTCAGTCACAGCTGAGAGGAACATTACTTTCTATCATATTGAAAATGTTATGAAAACGTTATTTCTGAATGTTTTATATATGTTCTCTTCAACGTTATGGGAATGTCCATCCAGTAAAAATCGCCTTGTAAGGACATTCCACGAAGGTTTTCTTTCTACATTGCGAGAACATTAAGTACAAATTATAATAACATCATGAAAACATTCAGAAAATAAAAATAACATTATTAGGATGTACCAAGATTGATAGTCTAAGAAAGTTTTCTCAACATGAGAACGTATATGAAATATGAATAACAATAAGAATGTTCCATAAACATTATTTTAAAACCTGTTGTCCTAACATTTACATAACTTTTAAAGAACATCAGTGGAAATCATGGCAATGTTCTGGGTTTTTACTTCCTGACTAATTTATTTTATAACTAATTTATAATTTTAAAAGGTTTCAATTTTTGTATGTCGTTGCTCAGTTCTCTTAGCAGAACTCCCTAGCCACATTCACTAGACATTTTTCTTCATAGTTAATTTTTCATTATTATTTATATCATTATCTTGCCTGGTGCTTGCATTTGCATGCAGTGGCTCAAATATAAGTTTATCAAGCGACGAGAATACTTTTTTTGCTGAAAAACAAAACAAAAATAACGACTTTAATCAACTATTGCTTTTCTTCCTTGTGGGTCTGAGACGAGAGTTCAAGAGATTTCCACGATGCATGCGCGAGAATTGAACAAGAAGTAGAAGAACGTTCTATTCTCAGTTCTCGCGCATGCGTCGTGGAAATCTCTTGAACTAAAACATTTTTCGGGATTCAGTACATTTCTGGCTGTAGCTAAGTTAGGCTTAGCCTGGCATGCCAGACCTACATCAAGATGTTAGGTCTGGAAACTCTTCGTTGACAGGGCTCAATCCGAGGGGCGGGATAAACGGTTGTCTTTCAAATTCTCTCTGCACGCAATTGGATAGCGCTAAAGCCAATCAGAGCAACGAAGAAGGTTACGTAGTCAGCGGAGTAATTTGATATATTAAACTTTTATTGTATCCAGTCCAGCTGTCAACATTGAACATTGAAAATAAAGGAGATTTCCTGGAATCCATCCCCAAAATAAGGGATTTTTTTTTTTTTACACGACCCACAAACTTTAAAAATAAAACACTAATCATTAAAAGTCTAAAGAGTTTATAACTAGCCTACATATGTGTGAGAGAGAAAGAGACAGTGTGTGTGTGTGTGTGTGTATGAGAGAAAGAGACAGTGTGTCATAAAAAAATAATATCATAGAGAATGTTTAAATACTAATATCAACTTACGAGGGAAACGGAGGCGGATTAGTGGTGCTTTGGAGTGCTGGAGATGATTCGGGAGAGGTCCGTGTCCGCATCCGAGGATGAACGACTTCAAACCGAATATGTCCGAGCTTGCTCTGACCGTCGCAACTCTGTCGTCATTATGTTAAGCCCGCCCGCCTACTCTATACATGATGTGATTGGCCCTACCAGAGTTGGGGTTTTCCAGCTAAAACGTCTATGGAGAGTTGCTAGACCACACTTTGCTGCAAAATAATTTTTGCTGCCGCTAGGGTGCGTCTAGATTTCTAGGCTAAGTTAGGCCTACATCACATTATAGAAGTAAAATGGTTTGCAAATAGAAATGTAACAAATCGTTCAGAAAGCTTTAAATCCAAAACACAGTTTTTATTTATTTTTATTTTTTTTAAATGTATAATAATTGAAGCCATTTTTATCACTTTACTGAATCATATGCATAGTTTATTAATTTATGTAATTCATTCTGCATCAGATTTCTTATAGGAGTCTCAATCAACTCGCTAGAAAAATGGACTGCCCCAGTGAGGATGACGTAAGCACCACTTTTTCATTTTCATAAGGCAGATTTCTTTGCAAATAAAAGTGATTTACACATAGTTGCAGAAACTTATTTAGCATTTAGTCTTGACAGGCCTGAGTTTGCATCCCTCTAATGCTTGAAAAACTTTCAAATCAAGGAAATTGAAGACAAGCAACAAACAGGAGCATGTGCTGTTGAATCTTATCACAAGGAGGATGTTTCTAAGTTACAACAAGGTAAATGCATCAGTTATACATATAATTATTTTGCAATGTTGGCCACAATTTAAATGGATATGTTTACCTTATACAGATATACGGCCTTTACCATTACAATAGACCTTAGGCCAGTGGTTCTTAACCTTTTTTGGGCCAGCGCCCCCTATCCAATATCCAGGTCCCTGACCGCCACCCACCCCATCCCAACTAATGCCACGTTAAGAGTGAGTCAAGTGAATGAGAGTTAACAGATGAAATAAGTATAAAATTGTAATTTATTAATACAATTAAACTCCACAGACCTTAATCCCCCCAAAAAGCTCTAAATTGCATTGGAATAGCAATTCCAGTGTTCCTCGCAGGTTGTTTGTTAAATCTGTGGTGGTTGGTCCTCGGGCCTTCTAGGGGGGTTAGAGGGCATTTTAATGTTTAATTCATCAATCTGGTGCACTTTGAGAGTTTAAAATTAAAAGCTCCACCCGTATTCAGTGTGCAAATTAAACAAAGTAAAATTCAAATCTCTTTTAGTTGTGTCTGTCTACATTACACTACTAGCCTACATAATCATGACAGTAATAGCCATATGTTGTAAAACAAATGCACTGA